GCGGGGTGGTGGTGGTGGAGACAGAGACTTGCTGGGAGGGGACAGGCGCCAGTGTTGCCTGTATGGGAAGCCTGACTGCATCTGTGCCTGCGGCCCAGTGAGGGCAGGGGCTCCATGCAGTAGGAAAAGGGCCCCGCACCCACGTGTGGAGGATGGGCCAGGACTTTGCCCAGGGCCTCTGGTGACAGGTCCAGGCCTCTCCCTGCCCTCGCCCACATCGGGAACCGGGAGCACGGCTTTCTGTGCCAGTCCTGCCGAGCCACAGGCACTGGGGGCTGGCCTTTCCCTCACCCCCTCATTCCAAACCGGTCTGTCCAGCCGTCCACCCCAAGGAGGGGAAGCCGCCTGCCCCACCTCAGATGCCCCAAGAAAGCGAAGTCCACACGTGTATAACCAGAGGGAGGGAGGGAGGATTTATTCACAGTAGGACATGATCAACAGATACATGAGCAGTGGTACCAGGAACGGCAGGGGGGAAGGGCATTCCTGCCACTCAGGCCTCCCCGCCTGCTTGGGGGTGCTTCTGCCGCAGGTGTTTGTCCAGGGTGGCCCGCAGGCCGAAGGGCACGCGGCAGTGGGGGCACTCAAAGCGGGCCCCGCCAGGCCCCAGACCGTGCATGCGGCGGTGGCGGTTCAGCTTGCTGCTCTGGGCACAGGCATAGGGGCAGAGCTCGCAGGTATAGGGCCGCTCCCCGGTGTGTGAGCGCCGGTGCACAGTCAGGTTGCTGCTGCAGGTGAAACGTTTCCCACAGAACTCACAGCTGCCCCCGGGCCCATGGCTCTTGCCCACTGTCTTTGGAGTCTTCTTAGGCAACTTCTCTGGGATCTGGGCAGAGTTGATTCTCTCTTTCTTGATGGCGACACCGCAACCATCCCCACCAGGACCAGCCTGAGCTCCACCACCTGGAGCCCCAGGTTCCTGCACGCCCGCTGTGTCGGCAGCTCCAGCCCCTTCACGGCTGCACAGGAGAGTCCTGGCTGGGGCAGCGGCATGGGCGGCTGGCTCCGGAGGGGCAGCTGAGGCCTGTTGCTGGCTGGCCTTGGCAGTGTCGGGGATCTGAGGCTGCAGCTGCTGGTGGGTCTTCTTGTGGCGGTTGAGCTTGCTGCTCTGGGCACAGGCGTAAGAACACTGGTCACAGGCGTAGGGCCGCTCGCCCGTGTGCGAGCGCATGTGCACCTTGAGGTTGCTGAAGGAGCTGAGGGTCTTCATGCACACAGAGCAGGTGGGGCTCCGCCGGGGGAGGCTGTTCGCCTGGGAGCCCTTGGCCTCCACTTCCTGCCCCACCACTGCTGACATGGCTGCAGCCACCTCTGCCAGGCCCAGCAGCGGAGTCTCTGGGGCCTCGGATTCCGTCTGGTAGATGGACAGTCCATGGTCCCACTGGGCATGGCGCAGCAATTTCCAGGCCTCTGTGAACTGTCGGCCACAGCGGAGGCAAGTCAAAGCCTTCAGGTCCTCAAGTTCTGCAGAGACAGGCTGGGTGTTAGTGTGATGGGTAAAAAGCACAGCAGTAGCGGTCACAGCTTGCCAGTTGGACACATTCTGTGGGAAAGCCTATGTTCTAGGGCCTCAAAACGGCAAGAGGACAGGGAAAACCCCTGCCCTCAGGAAGCTGATGTTCAGGGAGGGGGCTAGATGGACAAGAAGCAAGGAAAGTCGGGAGTGGATGATGAGTATGCAAGGGTTCTTTCCGTGCTTGAAAATCACTGAGATGCCCTCCTGGCCAGGTAACTCAATTGGATAGAGCATCATCCCCATGTGCCAAGGTTGTGGGTTCAACCCCCAGTCAGAGCACATAGAAGAAGCAACCAATGAATGCATAAGTGGTACAAATCAACTTTAAAAGAAGAAAGGAAATCTTTGTGGAAAAGTGAATAAGTTAAAAAAAAAAGTGAAAAGTTAAAGCAGAGTGAGGGACGGGGAGTGCTATTTCATATTGGGGGATCAGGAAGGCCTTGCTCAAGGTGACCAAAAACAGTGTGCTAGCCCTAGCCGGTTTTGCTCAGTGGATAGCATCGGCCTGCAGACCAAAGGGTCCCGGGTTCGATTCCAGTCAGAGGTCAAAGGCACGTACCTGGTGGGGCACATGCAGGAGGCACATCGATGTTTCTCTCCCCCCCACTTCCACTCTCTCTCTAAAAATCAATGGAAAAATATCTCCAGGTGAAGATTAACAAAAAACACACAAAAAAATTAAAATCAATAAAAACGTATTTAAAAAGAACCCCCTCTTTGAGCCTCAGTTTCCACACTTGCTAGAATATGGGGATCCTCTCCCTTTTCGGGGTTGTTGTGACCTCAAATGGGGAACAACTGAGAGTTTGGGTCCATGTAACCTCTCAGTAAACCTTAGCTGGGTTGAGTCCACAATCCTCCAAGAGTCTGTGTTTCTTTCCAATAATTCCATCACAGCCCCTCCCTGCGCGCACTCGGTATCGGATTTGATCACAGCTCTTCCTTTCAATATAGGACCCTCCCTGTGGCCCAGCCCTTTTCGAAAAAATCCCAGCTTATAGGCGGGGGGGCTGAAAATCCTGAGCCTAGTGCCACGATAAGGGTTTAATTCCATTCCAAGAGAAGGAACCCAGGTGCCCAGACAGGAGGACCCGGCTCAAACCAGGGGCTTCCCAGCAAGCACGACTGGGAGATTCCAGGAGAGGGGGCAACACTACCCTTCCAGCTGGCCTCAGGCCGCCCCTCCCCCAGACCACTGCCCTCCCCAGGGTCCCCCTACTGCCACACTGGTCCAGCCACCTGGCCAGTTATTTCTGGCCAAGGGGAAGGAGAAGTGAAACCAGATTGGGGGGGCGTGTGTGGCAAGTCCCCAGACCAGTCTTCTGGGGCTGGCCACACCCAGTGGGCCATCCTCCTTCCCTGCCCAGCCCTGCCCCCACCCTTCGCACCACCACTAGTCCCAGCCCTAGGACAGGGCAGGCCCTGGCCACGCCTAGGCTACACCCGATGGGGAGCAGAAAGGGGAAGTAGTGCTCACTGCCCCGCCTGTCCAGCTCAGCCCCTTCTCCCACAGGAAGCCGGGCCCTTGAACTTGAGAGGGGGTGGCATCCCAGCTCTACTCACCTGAGTCCGGGCAAGGGCTGGGGCCTCTCGAGGGCTGACAGCCCTGCTTCTTGTGGTCCATGAAAGCCGTGATGGCCTTCAGCGGGAAGGTCTGCAGGCAGAGGCCGAAGGTCAACGTATCTGGGTGTTTGTCAGTCCAGGGCTGGCGGTCTGCAGGGAGGAAGCGGGTGGTGAGCATGGGGTGGGGCCAGAACCGGCTGGGGGTTCCGAGGGAGAGGGGAAACCCGGAGGTGAGAAGGGAGCCAGGACCTAGCTACGGAAACACGGCAGGGGCAGGGGCCGCGGAGCGGTGCGGGAGGCCGGCGTCCCACCCGAGAGTGAAAGGGGAGGGTCGCGGGGCCCGGCACAGGGGGCTCTTACCGTGAGGATTAGGGACCAGAGAAGTCCACGGCGCCGGCTGGTTCTGCAAGCCGAGGGCGAGGAGGGTACCGACGGCGGGCATCAGGCTAGGGCAGTAGCGGGGTGCGCCCTCGAGGCGGCCTGGCGCGGGCACTTCCTTTGGGGAACCCCG